TGTTGGATTTTGGTCTTCAAGACTGAACTTGGTGTCAAAGGAGCTGCTCTAGCAAGTTCAATCTCTTACTGGATTAACTTCTTGTTTTTGGCTCTTTATGTCAAGTTTTCTCCTACATGTGCAAAGACTTGGACAAGACTGTCAAAAGAAGCGCTCAAGGATATGCTTGCTTTCGTTAGACTCGCGATTCCCTCTGCCATCATGGTCTGGTCAGTGTATATTTCTTGATTTTCTACAAGTAGCACGAAAAAAACCCGTATATGTATACTTGTGGAACTGGTTTATTTAACTTTACTTTGATGATTATCAACAGCTTAGAAATGTGGTCGTTTGAGCTAATGGTTCTGCTTTCTGGCCTCCTTCCAAATTCACAGTTGGAAACCTCAGTGCTATCAATCTGGTTTGAATTGTGAACCTTTTATTTATCAAGCAAAATTTTCCATTTTCAAGTCTAACTGATTTGCTTCATTGTTTGCTAGTCTTAATACATCTGCAACAGTTTGGATGATCTCTATTGGACTGAGTGGTACTGTAAGGTTAGTCATCGAAAAATATGTTAAATTTGGTTCGTATTTAACCAAGTGATCTGAAAAATGAATTTGGTAGTTGAAGATGGGAGATGCAAATTTGTAGTTCTGTTCTTGTGATCATATATTTGTGCAATGCAGTACACGGATTGCAAATGAACTAGGAGCAGGTCATCCTCAAATTGCACATTTGGCGCTACATGTTGTCTTAGCTGTGACTGTTATCAAGGGGATTGTGTTGGGATTGATCATATTATTGCTACGTAACGTATGGGGATATGCTTACAGCAATGAAACTGAAGTTGTTAGATACATAGCCATCATGATGCTACTTCTTGCAACATCAAATTTTATTGATGGCCTTCAATGTGTTCTATCAGGTTGGAACTTTTACACGTTGTTAAATAGTTTTTGAAACTGTGTAGTTACATTTCACATTCAGGTGCTTTAAGAGGATTTGGATGGCAGAAAATTGGGGCAATTATTAACCTTGGATCCTATTATTTTGTGGGAATTCCTTGTGCTGTCTTGATGGCTTTTGTTCTTCACATCGGAGGGAAGGTAACACCTTACTGTTTACGCTATCCATCCGTGCATATAACTTTTCTTTATTACTTCAATGTCATGAAGAGTTTGAGTAATATTGCCTTCTATTTCCACTTACAAACAGGGTTTATGGTTGGGTATTATTTGTGCACTTCTAGTACAAGTGTTATGTCTTCTATTCATTACCCTACGCGCAAACTGGGAAGAAGAAGTGAGCAACTCCCACAATACAATGAATGGTTACTTGAGAGTTTTCAGTTTTCCTATATATAGCTGATGAGTTTTTGTTGTTGTTTATTTAGGCTAAGAAGGCTCAAGAGAGAGGGGAAGAAACAATATTACCAGGGGAGATAGTGTACTGATCAATGTGCACCTTTTAAATACAATTGAAATAACTAAAAAAAGATTTTGACCTGTTCTGCTATGTGGCATATCTAATATCATTAGTTTAAATACAATTTTATTTTGATTGGTATTTTTCAATTCATAGCAAACTTATTCCATTCGCCTCTCTCCCCTTTCTCTGGAATCTCGCTCGTCACTCTCCTCTTTTTCATCCCTATCTCGCTTGCCTCACTCACTTTATACAAACACAAATGTACAATTTGTGTAAAGCGAGAGAGACTGTATATACAAATACCAATAGATATCTCTCCGTCCTATACATTTATAATTATACAAATACAAATCTTCTCTTACCCAGTTATCTTTTGCGGTTTTGCCTATCTCTCTCCCTCGCTTTATACAAACACAAATTACACAAAATACAATGTATAATTTATGTTTGCATAAAGCGAGATAGAGATTTGATATACAAATACAAATGTTTTAACTCGATTCAATTGTATACGAATTCAAATTACATGCAGATATACAAACACAATCATGATACATATACATAGTAGTTACATATAAACAATTATCTAAGTGATATACATATACAATTTACCACTCTCTGCCCTCTGTCGCTCGCCTCTCTCCCAATCTCTCTCGCTACTCTAGCCTAACACATAGAACATATACGTACACATACATAATTTTCATGCAAATTGCCGTAGTTTTTATACAAATTGCCATCATTTATACAAATCAGATATTCCACAACAAACATAATTTGACTATGGAGTGCAAATAGCAAAATTGTAGCTATAAAACGCTAATATAATTTTTATATTTGATAATCCTAAAATTTACTCTTTAAATAGTAGTATTCGTGGGTTGGGCCGAAGTCAGAAGTTGTCAGCCCATTTTGGTCTCAGAGGCCCATCAGCTGATTAGTGGATGTGCAACTATCTCCCGCGAAATCAAATTGGTGTTTTGAGAGTTTGAAAATAACGTCTGAACAATGCGGTTCAATTTTGAATTTATTGCACTCAATGGAGGAAGGTATCTCAATTATCCGATCACAACTTGTGTCAATGTCAAACGGATCTGAAATGCTATAGACATTTATTCCATTTTCACCCTTCCCCATCGAATCTGATCCCTAATTTTATCTTTCTTCTAGGGTTAGAAGAAAATATCTGAGGAGTTCATGGTACAAACAGGCTGCAGGTTGAGCACATGTATATACAAAATTCCTCCTAGTGGGGAAGAAGACACAGAAGCAATATGATAGGTCAAAAACCCTAAATTTGTGCTGTAGGTGACTGCAGCTAAGCTATTCTCACCCGACATCTGTATTGGAGTGGGACACTGGTACAAACCGGCGAGCCATCTCAAAGCAGAATTTCCACGCACCAAATTAGCCGGCGGTGAACCACCGGCGAAGTCAGCAAAAGTCAGTAGCTCAGATATAGTGCAATGGAACAGGTCTATCACCCAACACATGCGGCAAGGAGAATGCGATTCCGCATTGAGCTTATTCAATTCAATGCCAGCAAAGTCCAGTGTATCCTGGAACGCAATGATTTCTGGGTATTTGTTGAATGGCAAATTGGACCTCGCTCAGAAGCTGTTTGACGAAATGCCTCAGAGAGACTTGGTGTCTTGGATCATTCTGCTTAGTGGCTACATTAAGAATAAGAATTTGGGGGAAGCTAGGGTTTTGTTTGATCAAATGCCTGTTAAAGATGTAGTGTCGTGGAATGCATTGCTTTCCGGGTATGCCCAGAATGGGTACGTTGATGATGCTAGAAGGATCTTTCTCATGATGCCTGTGAAGAATGAGATCTCTTGGAATGGACTTCTCGCTACGTATGTTCAGAATGGGGGGGATTGAGGAGGCCAGGAAATTGTTTGAGTCAAAGGATAATTGGCCGTTGGTTTCTTGGAATTGCTTGTTGGGTGGGTATTTGAGAAAAAAGATGTTGGCTGAGGCAAAGGTGCTTTTTGATAAAATGCCTGTCAAGGATCAGGTGTCATGGAACACAATAATTTCATGTTATGCCCAGAATGATGATTTGGAGGAAGTGAGAAAGTATACCAATTAGATTTTAGCCTCTGTATACTTAGCTATTGTGCTGGTCATCTCCATAAGTGTTGAGGATTTACTGTAGTTATTGCACACATGGAAGCAAAGCACAGAAGAGGGATAAGTGGATAATCCCTTTCTTGTTGTTTGGTGAATTTGGCGCGTACAATCCGTGATCTCCTCATTGATCTTGGTAAAAAGGAGGTATGCTGAGATATATCGCCCATAATTGTTGCACACTTCAGGTGTACTTCAGTCCTCTGTTCTCTGGCGAGAGATTCTTGATTGGCTCCTTCTACCTGTCTGGCCCAAACGCATGACAGTGACTGTTTGTCGGGTATCATAAATCTGCTCTACCCTAAGCTCGCTGACTGATTTCCTACTTCTTTGACCCCCACTAGCTAGGTGGTAATGATACTATTGTGGCCCAGCATTTACACATAGTGGAACTCTCCTCAAAATCTGCTATCTAAGATTATCCTGGCCCTAAGTTAACCTCATCCGCGGCCACGAGAAAAATCATACTTTTCTGGATATGGTGAAGAGCACATGTATTGGATGACTAGACAATCACCAAATTCGCTTGTAGTTGGTACTGGTATCTTTCTGAGTTTTGAGAGCAAAAGGTAAGAAAATTTATCTCATCATTGATTCATTTTCCTATGATCAATAGTTTGTGTTAGATTCACTTAAGATATTTATTGTTAATCTGTTCAAAGCAGTGATAGCACAGTCTCTGTAATTTGTAGTTGTTGTGTTCCTAAACTAGTTACATTCCATTTCAGGAAGAAAGGAGTTATACTTCAAAGTTCAAACACACTGGAAAGTCACCTTGCCTGAAGGTAAAAAAAAAAATACTTTTATCAGTTGTGGATCCGATTGGAAAACTTTGGGTACGGATGTGAACATGTCTGATCAAGCCACTTTTTCATTCCATTCAGAGGAGTAATAATTTATCCCTGACATAGCTAGGTGGGATAGTAGTAGTCAAGTGGATGAAGGGTAGACCAACTCTACAATATAACAAGAGATAATCAACATGTATTTGTCTACTTCTGGTATCACTACTCAGCCCATCAATAACTACTAGAGTACTAGGCACTGGGGAGCTCCCTTGATAATTTTTGCTGGTAGTGGTTTTCCAGGTTTTCAATACAATTCAGAAATAAATATCTCATGAGTCTTAACAGTCACCAAGTATATTCTACCTAGATCTTAAGACGGACACAAAGTCCAAATATCAATTGCCAAATCTTCTCATTTTGTTCCTTTCCCAGTTGTTGGTTTCGGTTTTACGCTTTGGTCCACTTCCAGAGCTACCAACTATGCCATCAGTGTTGAAGCAAGCAATTGCTCTCTGTAAATAAAAATATTTTATAAATGAGCACTCCTCCCCTGAACATTTGCTTCATGATCTTTAAGGCTAGATCAAATTGTATATATATATATATATATATATTGCAAACAAGGTATGTGTTTTACCTCAATTCTTGCTTTTTTACCTTGTAAATTGCCTATTCAAAACAACATGAGATGTGAGTATGTGACTCAACATGTATAGTTGTCAAGAAAAAGAAAAAGTCAATTATAGTCGGAATTTTCTCACCAGAGCATTTAGGCAACATTTTCTCACTAGAGCCAGTATCCATTCTGGTTTGCATACTAGGATGAGACTTATTTTTGGACATGATGATCTGGTAAAGCGTTCCTGCATCAGTTTCTTCAAGATTTTTAAGGTGTTAGATAGAGTTCTTTTGCACATAATATACATTTAAGCATTGAGAGAGAGAAAGACCAGTGAATCAACACACCTAAGAGTGATTCAATCGCGGCTTGAGCAACTACTTGCTTTGCCATTTGCTTGCTCCCAGCAAACTCACCTTTGTAAGTTTTGCCTCCCAACACCAAGTGACAAATATAAACTGAGCTTGGCCTTTCTGTATATCTAGTGTTATATATAGGCCTATGCAGATTCCTCTTGACAGCAAATTCATAGAGAACGGATTTGCACAGCATAGGTTCCTTCAACACACAAAAACAGAACTTCAGATAAGTATTTTGAGCAACCGAACATTTAGCTTTTTAGGAAGAAGCAACAAGTGAATATCACCTTGTAAATACGTGAAATATCTCTAGCATCAATTTCCTTGTGAATGCATTCATAAGCTATTTTTGCTACTGCCTGCTCTGCTTCTTTCTTCGTGGGATGTGTTGACTTGGATTCATATTCAGATCCATCAACCAAAACCTTTGCTCTGAACTTTAGGGCATGTGGAAAACCTTCATTTACTGTTTGATAAATTGGAAGTTGTTTGACATTTTTTTTGTGTGTACTCTTGTAGTTGATTCTTGTACATTACTTGTGCCGGAGGAACTGCAAATATATTATACCATAAATAATATTAGTTGAAAGCATCAAAATACGTTAAAACATGAATTAAGCAAGAAAATAATGGTGAGTGAGAAGGTTGAAATGAGAGATGCATATGGAAGTAAATTTGGGGAACTCCATATTTGCTGAAGATGCAATTCTTTGAGAAACTAAAATTGGAGTCTTGAAGAGTATTAACCCTTTATCATGGCTTTGTACAATTCTTACTTTACATGAGAACTGCGAAGGAGAATCATTTTGTACAATAACATTACTTTTGTTTTTCTCATGAATGTACATTGTCAGATTTAGATATCATATCACCATAACATATAATAGAAAGTAAATTGTTTTATTTGCAAAATTGCATATTCCATATTTTAAAGAATTGTATCTACAAATATCTCATTTGAATGTTCAGATAGTATAAAAAATCTATATATTGATATTGTACAAAAAATATTCAATGAATAAATGTGCTTTATGCTCGCAAGGGCAAATTGAGTGGTTGAGAAGCGGATCGCCCATGTGGGAGACCTAGGATATCCATCCTCGTCGATGGGGTTTGCAGTTTTTATCTCATTTGTAGTTTGCGAGTTGTTACATAGTAATTAGGTTACCACAAAATATTCACTACAGAGTGCTCATCCGTAGAGTAGAGGTTGTTGGTTTACTTGAGGGTTCCAAAAAAAAAAGTGTTTCATTGTAATGGCAAGTTCTAAAATGGAATCAACTTGCTTTTGCATTTTTTTCCCCATTTTGCAGTAGTAGTTGTACACTTGGACTCCCATTTTAGAAAAAGAGTACAATATTCGAGCATTTGATAGTGACAATATCCAAAAATGCACCAAATGCATGCATAGTTCAAATACAATATATATTTTTTTACCTAAAGGGAAGGTTAAATGTATTTTGTTAAATATCACAAAATTTAAATAAATTATTACTAATAATTGCAAAACTAAAATTATTATCCTTAGAGTGGAATATTTAAATAAATAAGATTAGAATAACACTCTTGGTTAAAGGAGGAGCGCCGTGCTTATAAATTTTTTTCCCATTTTATAACTAAGAAGAGTGTTGAACTTGCAAAGACGATGACAACAAATAAACAACATATGTAGTGAAATCCCACTAAGTGGGGTTTGGATTGGGTAGAGTACTGTAGATAGAGAGGTTGTTTTCGAAAAATACTCGGCTCAAGTGTAGCAAATCCAAACACAAAAGAAGAGAACAATATAGAAAAGTTATTAGCAGTATATAAAAAATACTATAACATTCAATTTAAACAAAACTGAGTCAAATCTTTCAAAGTAGTTCATGATCCCACTAAACTTGACAAGCATCATGTATATTTCTATGAAGATATTAAGACAGACATTTAAATTCCAAGTATCAGTTGTCAAATCTTCTCTTTTTGTTCCTTCTTTCGTTGTTGGTGTTGGCGTTGACGTTACACGTGTGTCGACTTGAACTTTCAAATAGGCTCTTAGTTGAATTTGTCTCATCTTCACTTTTTAATTCTCACTTGAATTATTTATAATATGATGTTGTTATTTTTATAGTAGTAGAATGGTATATGCATGGGGTGGAAATGTGGAATGGGACTATGAAAATTAGGTGTAATGGGAGACAATATATTTTATATATGCATAAAATTAAAATTTGATTTGCTTGCTTAATTCATGTTTTAATTTATTTTTTTTGTGTGTATTGAGTCCATTATTATAGTATAACCAATTTCTTTTCAGTTGCTACAATATACAAAAAACAATTACAAGAGTACACACAAAAAGCTGGGAAAAGGCTCCTAATTTATCAATCTTTTAATGAGGAGGATTCTGAAAACTTTCCAAAACATAGAGCTAAAGTGTTGATAGATGATGTTGAATACAAATCCAAGTTGACAAATTCAACAAAAAATCAAGTTGAGTAGGAAGTTGGAAAAGTTTCTTGTGAATCCATTATTCATCAAGAAACTGAAGTTGAAACTTTTCAGTTTCTTTACGAGGTAGTCATTCTACACTTGTTGCACCTTTCTAATAGTGCGCTAAAGATTCATTTTTGCTCAAAATTTTACTATTTTTTTGTGTGTTTTTTTAAAAGGACCCTATGTTGTGGAAATACATTCTAAATGAATTTGCCTTCAAGAAGAAAATGAAGCCTAAATATAATATGAGATGTCATGCAAAAGGGGTAAGTTTAGTTTTTATTTGCCACCTTGCTTTTGGTGGTAAAACATATATAGGTGAAGAAGTTGGGAATAAGAAAATGGCTGAGCATTTAGCTACTCGAACCGCAATTGAATCGCTATTGTGTGTTTATTTATTTTTTATTTTATCTCAATGCTTAAATGAATATATATTATGCGTAAAAGAACGTTAGTCTAACCCTTTAAAAATCTCAAAGAAATGAATAAAGATACTCTTTCATCAATAATCATGTCCAAAGTTAACTCTGATGATCACTTGCCTAAATGCTTAGGTGAGAATTGAGATTATCACGATTATAATTGATTATTTTTCAAAAATTACATATACTTGTTGAGTCACATTTCATGCATTTTTTTTGAATAGATAGTTTAGCCTCCTGACAACAATGTCAAATAGTATCAATATTAAAAAAAAATACACTAAATGCATGCATAGTTAAAATACAATATATATATATATATATATATAGTATTTGGCCAAATATCACAAACACTAAAATTAATTATTATTAATAATTACGAAATGAAAATATTATCCTTAAATAATTAACTAAAGAGGAATATAAAATAATTAAGATTAGAATAACTCTCTTGGTTAAAGGAGGAGCTTTGTGCAGCGATGTACTTACAATTTTTTTTCCATTTTATAATTATGAAGATTGTTGAACATGCGAAGACGATGACAACTACAACAATGAGTCAATAACATGCCTAGTAAAATTCCACTAAGTGGACTTTGAGATGAGCAGAGTGTAAACATACATTATCACTATCTCGTGAAGATAGAGAAGTTGTTTACAAAAAATACTCGGTTCGAGTATAGCAAATCCAAACACAATAAGAGAACAATATAAAAAAAAAAATTTAGCAGTATATCAAAATACTATAAGTTCCAATTCACACAAAGCTGAGTCAAATCTTGCAAAATGAGTTCATGATCCCACTAAACAAGTATTATGTATATTTCTATCGAGATATTAAGACAAACATTTAAATTCTAAGTATCAGTTGCCAAATCTTCTCTTTTTGTTCCTTCCTTCATTGTTTATGTTGGCGTTACGCTTATGTCGACTTGAACTTTCACCTTGTAAATTGCCTATTCAAAACAACAATATGGATGAAATGTGACTCAACAAGTATATATAATTATAAAAAAAGATAATCAATTATAATTGCAATTATCTCAATTCTCACCTGAGCATTTAGGCAAATAATCATCAGAATTAACTTTGGACATGATTATTGGTGAAAGAGTATCTGCATTTGTTTCTTTGAGATTTTCAAAGGGTTAGACAAACGCTCGTTTGCACATAATATATATTCATATAAGGGTTGAGATAAAATAAAACAGTCAATAAATATTTACCCAATAACGATTCGATGGCGGTTCGAGCAGCTAAATGCTCTGCCAATTTCTTATTTTTTCAGCTTCTTCACCTATATAAGTTTTACCACCAAAAGTAAGGTGGCAAATGAATGTTGGACTTTGCCCTTTTGCCTGAGATCCCATATTATATGTAGGCTTCATTTTCTTCTTGATGGCAAATTCGTTTAGAATGGATTTGCACAAAGTGGGGTCCTTTAAAAAGATAAAACACAAAAAAGTAGTAAGGTTTGAGCAAAAACGAATTTTTAGCGCACTATTTAGAAAGGTGTAAGCAAGTATAGAGTGAGTAACTTGTAAAGAAACGGAAAAGATATTACTGCAGCTTCTTCATGAAAAATGGATTCATAAGCAATTTTTGCAACTTTCTGCTCAGCTTGTTTTTTTGTTGAATGTGTCAACTTGGATGTGTATTCAACACCATCCACCAACACTTTAGCTCTATGCCTCGGGAAGTTTTCAGAACCTTCATTAAAAGATTGGTAAATTGGGAGTCTTTTCCCAGCTTTTTGTGTGTACTCTTGTAGTTGATTTTTGTATATCGTTGCAACTGAAAAGAAATTGACTATATTATTATACTAAAATAATGAACTCAATACAAAAAAAAGAGTAAAACATGAATTAAGTAAGCAAATTAGATTTCAACTTTATTTGTATGTATTATATGTTGACTCCCATTACACCTAATTTTCATAGCCCCATTCCACATTTCCACCCATGCACATATCATACTACCACTATAACAACACAACATATTACAAATAATTCAAGTCAGAATTAGAGATTAAAGATGAGATAAATTCCAACTAAGAGCCTATTTGACATTGTTATCAGGAGGCTAAAATTATTTATTTTTGTAAAGGATAAATGTACTTCGGCTCTAACTAGGATAGATAATTAAAAGTATTAAATATATATATATGTATCCTTTCTCTCTGTGTATTCTCGTATTGTTAGGAGACTTGTCTCATCATGAACCTTAGTTCCACTTATTTGACTGCAAATCCAATCCTCCACTTACGCACAAAGCACATAGAAATAGATTTTGATTTTTGTTTTAAGAAGGTTTGAGACAAGCTTCTTATAATTTAGTATATCAGCTCTCATGATCAGGTAGCTTATGTCCTCACTAAAGCTCTGCCGAAACATGCTATCAGATGTTAAGAAGCAAGTTGATAGTGTTCTCACATTCTGCTCAACTTGAGAGGGCATGTAAAGGATAATTGTACTTTGACTCTAATTAGGATAGATAACTAAAAGTATTATATATCTATGTATCCTTTCTCTTTGTATATTCTAGTAGTGTTAGGTTACTTGACTCCTCAAGAACCTCTTGTATAAATATTGATGTTTATCTTTAATGAGAAACAGAGAAGAAAGGTGTATTCAATTTTAAAAAAATAGTATTATTTTTGAAAAATCAATTTATTTTGGTCAATTTATCTATGTATCACCAAAAAAATAAATTGAAATCCTACCTTTTGAAATATTTGAGATTTTAAATTTAAATTAATATTTTATTATCATTTCATATTTTTTTTAAACAAAATGATTTCAATTTTGAGCTTCAAATTCTATAACCAATACCTACTAATTTGGATTATGTGATTTGGTGCCGTTAGCAATTCATTCTCATTTAATAGTTAACAAATAATTCATTTTATCAGATTTAATTATTTTTGCATTTAAATCGCATTTAATTGTTAGATTCATTAATTTGTAAGTCCATTTTTTCAAAGTATTATCCATCTTTTTTCTCCCATTCTTGAATTGATGCAATCAACTATATCTATGTATCAAAAAAAATTATATTTGTATATATAAAATAGAATAATACATTTATTATCAAGCAGTATTTTCTTTAGTTGATATATATTTATATGATCAATTTATTTATGTATCACAAAAAAAAAGTTTTATTTGTGTGTCAGAAAAAAATGATATAACTATCGCTAAACTCTTCTATGAATTAAAAAATAATTATATAACTATTAACAGGAAAAATTATATATGTGCATTATTTTAGAGATGATACGATATTCAACACTATATTAATGTGTTTTTCATTTGAGTATCACAAAAAAAGTGATACATATTGTATCACTATACTTCTTTAAGGATGATACAATATGTATTTGTGTATGCATTATTTAGTTTCAAAGCTAATATGTGTATTTATGTGCGAGATTGCGAGAGACAGGAGAGCGGCGAGCGAGATTGAATCATGTGTATATGTGTATTTCAATTTCAATTTAGATACAAGTTATATCTAAGATACGATTTTCTCACCTTTCTTCTATATATATCTCGATCTCGCTTGTCTCTCATCTTTAACTCCCTCAATCTCGCACACATTCGTTCTCTCTAAAACAATTGCTATGAATTATGATTAGACACACTATATCCATTATGTATAACTATGATCTCAACTATAGATTTACGAACATTCCTTAAAATTTACCATCATCACATAAAAAACAATTCATTCATGTGCATTCAAGAACACATAGGTTTTAAATTGCATTCAATTTTTCTTTTTTTCTTACTTTATTAGAAGAGGATATATTTATCAAAACAAAATACTACCAAATTTGTAAAAAATTTATATGAAGTAAGTATTAAATTAATTAAAAACACAACTACAATCAGATAGATAAAAAATACATGTGATGTAACGAAATACATGAAAAATTGTGCACACCTTTATTCTCCATAGCAATGTTTAACTTGTGACGGAGTAGGTTGCGTTTTTCTCTCCTTTAGCTTGTAACGGCGGATATCTTATAAAAAATGTCTTGTGTTAAATCAAGAGAGAAAACCTAGATTGCATTTATATGTGTATAAGCGTTAGCCTAGTGAGTCTGATCCTTGTTATAGGCTTATTAGTCTCCAAGGGGCCTATATTATTGTAAGCTCTCGCCTATCTGAGAAATAGCACAGGCCCATTAAAGAATCCAGCATATACTATGTGATATGTGTCTTGCCCGTCAAACTATTAAAATTTGGGAAAATTTTCAAAACAACAATATTTTAACTTTTAATGGGACTCCTTAGTAATAGTTTCATTATTCATTTAAAATGTCAATATTTTAGTTTGTTAATGATTGAGTTATGTATTTATTTTATTTTGATTAATTTGAAAGAATACAAATAATTAATAACTGAATAGAGAAAATCATGGAACAAAAAATTTCAAAAAAGGTAATTTTTAAAAAAAAATTTAACATCAGTTACGTTTTTGAAAGAGCATATGTTGCCATTTTTTTTCTAGTGTTTTTTTCTTTGTTCTTAAGAATTTCATTTTATTTTTTTTGAAAATAGTAGTTTGTATTTTATATCTTATACGAGAAAGTGTTGGAAAATTTCTAATGCCCTCTGTTTTGGATATTTAAATGTTTGAACTTCTTTGAATATGTGTTCATCTGAAATGTATTCGAATACCTAATGATATGTATAACTAATTTAAAATACAAAAAATGTTGGTATTGATTTATTATGAATACAACTCTTTGGCATTCTAGTTCAAGTACAAAAATAAAGGCAGTTGTGTAGTATATACCAAAATATAAATACAAATTAGTTGTAGAACAAAATGATATTGAAAAATACAGTTGCGATAAATACATATATAATACATAGAATAAGTTTATTCAAAATAAATTGTATTATTATTTCAATATCCAATTTTGTTATATTATTATTTCACTTTAAATTTGCAGAAAGTATTTTCTAGCTTAGTTTTTATTTCAAATATCAGGTTGTATTTCA